TTGGGAGTTCGAGGCAGGAGGATCACAATCTATGGCCATCCTGGGTTACCATAGGAAGTTCTGGGCCAGCCTTAGTCACATAGAAAGCTTTTGTCTAAAGAAAAAACAAAACTAACAAACAAACAAAAAAACAACAGCAACAACCCACGGGCAACTAAGTACCTGGTCTGGTGTTCCACACCTTTTTAATTCCAACACTCAGGAGTCTGGGGCCAGGGAACTCTATGTATTAGAGACCTATGCTTGTTCTACAAAGCAACTTCTAGGCCAGCCAGGCTACAAAATGTGACCCTGCCTCAAAACAGCAATAACAAAAGCAAACAGCAGCAGCAACAACAAAAGCCCAGTGTGATATTTTGGACTTGTAATCTCAACACTTTGGAGGGAGACTGAACAGGAAGATGTGGACAAAACAAAAAAATTAACAGACTTATCTTGAAAGTCTTATAGCAGTGTGACACATGACAAGTAGCTTTCTGTTTCTGGATCTCACATTTTTCATCTGTAAAGTGAGATGAGACATGATTATTGAGGTGAAGGGGATGTAACCCTTGTAAACTGCTTAGCACAGCATTTAGTAAATTCATAGTGAACATTAGTAGGAAACTGTCATTAGCATGAGCTTCTAGGTCATTGGTGGTTCTCAACATGTGCGTCATGACCCCTTTAGGAGGTCAAATGCCCTCTCACAGGGATTGCCTAAAATATTAGAAAACACAGATATAGCCAGGCGATGGTGATGCACGCCTTTAATCTTAGCACTCTGGAGGCAGAGGCATGTGGATCTCTGTGAGTTTGAGGCTAGACTGGTCTATAGAGCGAGTTCCAGGGCAGGCTCTGGAACGAGAAACCTTGTTCAAAAGAAAAAAAAAAACCAGATATTTATGTTGTAATTCATAAGTTATGAAGTAGCAATGAAAATAATTTTATGATGGGGGTCACTACATGAAGAACTGCATTAAAAGGTCAAAGCATTAGAAAGGTTGAGAACCACTGCTCTAGGTCCTTCCTAATTTGTCTTCTCCCTGTCTCCGCAGATTTACCCCTTGCTACATCATCCTATTTTGGTGTCACTCTTCTATCACTTCATTCTCTGTCACATTTCCAGAATTTTCCTTCGCTTTAGTATTCCTTTCATCTCCTTTTGGCAAATTTTAAATTCTATAGGACAGTGAAGTGTTCCCAAATACCCATTTTTCTCTTTCTAGACACAGCTTCCATAATCCTGGAAAGGATGTCTCCCAGAGTCTCTGGAATAGTTCCAAATTCAAGTAGTCTGTGTTGTCAAAGCTGTGTCAAGTTTTGTTCTCATTGTTTGTTCTGAAAATACAGTTAGGAAATATAGTTGTCTTTTTTTAAACATTTTTTGATCGACCAGTCTTTATTATGTGTAGTGTTCTGCTGCATGTATGGCTGCAGGCCAGAAGAGGGCACCAGATTTCACTACAGACAGTTGTGAGCCACCATGTGGTTGCTGGGAATTGAACTCAGGACCACTGGAAGAGCAGACAGTGCTCTTACTACTGAGACGTCTCTCCAGCCCCAATATAGTTGGTTTTGAAACAGGGTATCACTACACAGTTCTGGCTGCCTTGGAACTCTCTCTGTTGATTTGACCATGCTAGCTTCAAACTCACAGAAGTCTTCCTGCCTCTGTCTCCCAAGTGCTAAAGTTAAAGACATGCACCACTACTCCTAGGCCCCTTCTTGATTTTTTTTTTAAAAAAGAATATGTTTAAATTTTTTATACATTAAAAAAACTGTGTGTGTGTTCACGTGTGCAAGCACATGCCACTGTACTGTTGTGGACAGTAGAAGACAACTTGTAGGAATTGGCTCTCCCTTTGACTATGTTTTTGATACCCTGTGTCGTAGACAACATCAAAACAAAGAAAGGAAGGAAGAAGAAAAGAGAGGAAGAAAGAAAACTGACTGGGGCTCAAAGTCAATAGGCTAGATGGCAAGTACCTCTATCCACTGAGCTGTTTTTTGAGATAGGGTCCCATTATGTAATCCAAGCTAGCTTGGGATTCAGTACTAACCAGGTCAGACCTGAACTGGTCTGCCTTGAGTGTTTCATGCTACTAGGCTGAAAGATGAATTTTTTTCCCTTTTGCTGTTTTTTTTCTTCCCTTTATTGCTGAGAATTGAACCCAAGGCCTCAAGAATGCTAGGGAAGCACTCAACTACTGAGGTACATCCCAAGTGAGAAGGGTTGTATCTGTCTATACTAGGAATTCTGAGTGTCTGGCATAAAGTTGGGACTAGGTAATTAATGAAATAAATTAATAAGGCACTCATTCTTTTACTGTTCTTTTTAATTTTTTTTTCCAGGGCCAGGGATTAAATTCAGGGCCTTGGACAAAATAGGCAAGCTGAGTTATATCCCTAGCCCCCAGAGGTGCTTTGATAAAACACACATGCACTCAAGACTGAATGGATGGCCTGATTTTGAGGTCATCAGATTGCCTTCGTCCTGAAAGTATGTATCGGTGAACTCCCTTCTCCATTTCCTCAGGAGGACCAAGCCCACGCATTCAGCTCTGCCCCTGCTTCCATACCGTGCCACATCACCTCAATTCTGCTATGCCAGGAATGTTACTAGGGAAGAGTAGCGCCATGACTCAGAGGACAACTCTGGGACTGAGTAGGAGCTTTGGCAGAGAGACTTAGGGATAAAAATGCTTCTGAAACATTCCTAGCTCTCCTTTTTGCTGTGCTTACCCTCCAGATGAGGACATGCTCTTTTGCCTGTTGCCTAGCTGTTCTGCAAATCAAGGTTTTTCTCCCTTAACTTTCTGAGTACCTGGGACCTCAGGCATGTACCACCACACCCAAATCTTTAAGTAATAATTATATTATTGTTATTATTTTAAGACAAGGCCTCACCATGTAACTCTGGCTGTTCTGGAATTGGCTATGTACTGGAATTAAAGCATGAGCTATTATACCTGGCTTTACCACATTTTAATCCTAACTCTTAATTTTAATTTTTGAATTTCACCTTCATCCATCTATATATTTAGAAGACATATTTAGAGAACCTTATATGTGCTAGGAATAGTACACATTCTTGAGCAGTAAAAAGGAAAAGGCATCTTTTTCACTCTAAAAAACCACAGTTTTATGAGGGAGATACAAGTAAACAAATAACACAAGGTGGAGAGATAACAGTGGCCATTTTCTGGTACTTAAGGTAGAAACAAAGGCAACTAAGAAGGTGTGAAGTGGATTTTTTCTTTCAGGGCTGAAATAAAATTATAGGAAGAAAATTCTGTTTTTTAACTGCCTTAGCCATTCAGGTCTTATTGGCTTATTTGCAATTTCAAAATCAGAAAAAGCTTTAATCTCTACCTTGGCTGATTTTTTTTTTTAACAATTTAGGAAATAGTATTAGCTGAATTTACACTTAATTAATGTAGGGTGTGTGTACTCATGCTTGTGGAGGTCAGAGGAAAATGGGAATGGATCAATTCTCTTATCCCATCATGGGGTCATCAGGCTTGGTATTTTATCTGATGACCCATCTTGACAGTTCCAGGCAACTGCAAGCCTTTTCTGGAAATGTGGGCAATTTATTCAACGGTATTTACCGAGTACCTGTGAGACAGTACAATGCTATTGAGCTGGGTGAAGACTTTAGTTAAGTGTAGCATAACATACAATGCTTCAGTGCAACCTCCTCACAATGTACATTCAGTACCCAAGGAAGCAGAGAGAATCCAGCAGATGGCAGTAAGGAAACAAATATTTTAGATCTTGAAGGAAGAGGAAGAAATCTGAGGTTAATGAATGGGAGATATTCGATGGTTTCCCTTTGGAGAAATATCTGGATAGGTATCCAGGGCACCTTATGGCCAATAATCTGAGGGTTGTTTTTCCATGCCTTTTTATTTATTCATTTCTCAAATTACTAAGTGCCTTCCTGGTACAAAGACTTGACAGGAGATGGACATACAAGTGGGAAGCAGTCTTTGCTCTTCAGAAGCTCAGTTTGTTTAGAGGTCTTCACTAGGGCTCCTACAATGTTCACAGCCACCACGGTTCTTTGCTAAAACTTGACAGGGTTCATAGAACATTAGACTAGAATGGGATCCCTCTGTTTTTCCGTGCCCTTTGGAGCATAGATAATTAGCAACTGAACGCTAAGGACTTTGGAGCCGGAGAAGATTGTGTGATGCAGTCTGATTGAGTTCTATAGTTTATTTCACTGGTCTTTTAAAGTTTGCTTTTTTAAATGTATGTTTCTTACTTTTCTTGTTGTTATATTGTTTTCAAACATTTACATTTACTGAACTCATCACTGTGCCTAGCATTGTTTGAGGCAAACAAAACAGATCTAGTCTCATGTCTTTCTTTCTTTCTTTTTTTTTTTTTTTCTTTCGAGAAAGGGTTTTTCTGTATTGTTTTGGAGGCTGTCCTGGAACTCGGCTCTGTAGACCAGGCTGATCTCAGACTCAGAGATCCACCTGCTTCTGCCTCCCGAGTGCTGGGATTAAAGGCAGGCGCCACCAATGCCCGCCTGGCTTAGTGTCGGGTCTTGAGAAGGAAGGTGTCAAAAGTCCGCACTTTAAAAAGTAAAGGCTTGAAGAATTCTTGTTGGTTGTGATGTTTTGTAGTACACAAGTGCTTAGCATCTCGGACTTGGCACCAGAGCTGCATCTTGGATTCTTTCCAGGGCTGTCATTTGAAGCGCTCAGTTCTTCTCAACCAGAATTCACAGCAAGCTGAACGCAACACCGTCAAAGATACGAACCTATATTGGCCTATCGAGCCACCGTCCGCACACGGTCTTCCGCCGTGGATTCCTCAGGGTGTGACGTGATCTGTCACGTGGCCCAATGCCACCTCCGGATTGGCCTTGTTTCTTTCTGGATTGAAGGATGGAGCGTTGAGAAGGTGGGGCGCAAGCGCAGTACTGGGGTTTCCTTGGCCGCCCACCCTGAGCTCGGCGGTGGAGTTGGCGGTAAACAGGCAGTGTCTGGGGAGGAGGGGGAGGGGTGTGCGTTTGGGGGACTTCTGCTGCTGCTTTCTCCTTTAGGTTTGTTTGAGCCGAGACGCGGCGACCCCGGCAGCCGGCTCGAGTGTCCCTGTCTTTGAGCGAAGGTAGCTTTTGCGGAGAGCAGTTCGGGAGCTCTCCTCCATGCCGGGCAGGTGGTGCGGTCCTGAGCTGGTCCCGGAGCCCGAACGACGCCTGTGAGAAGCCCGCAGAACGCGGGTTCCGTGAATAGACGTGGGGAAGATTCGATTCCGAGAAAAGGAAGAGCCGGATTGAAAGGGAGCGAGGCCGCTGAGGGGGAGGGGGCTGCCAAGATGGCGTCCGCCTCCTCGGGGCCAGCGGCGGCCGGGTTTTCATCCCTTGATACCGGGGTCCCTGCCGGTACCGCAGGTGAGCCCAGTGGGGCGCGGGCAGCCGGCGAGGGAAGACTGGGAGATGGGAGCAAGAGCGAGTCCGGGGAAGGGACCTGTAGATGGGGGTGTCCGAGTGGTTTCCCCAACAGACCGGACTTTGAAGTTATAGACAATTTTGAGAGATGTAGAGAACTTTGGGGGAAAGGATGAGGGGCTCTGAGAAAATAGAAGTCGACACAAACGCCCGCCCTGTGTCTTAGAGGCGACTGCGTTGAGAATTTTGAGGAGGAGGAGGAGGAGGAGGTTAGAGGTAGGGAAATGACGAAAACAGGAGTAGAGAAACTAAAGTCAGTGGAGGCTGGGGATACAGCTTAGTGGTGGAGGTCCTGTCTATCATGCATCAGACCCTGGGTTCAATCCCCAGGATCTTAATTTAAAAGTAGCGTAAATGAAGTATTGGTAAATACAGGGGATTTTTTTTTGGGTGTGTGTGTGTGTGTGAGGTAGAGGCTAAGTTTATTGTGGAATTAATAGATCAAAACGTTAAGGGGACTATGGGCCTTAAAAGTATTGAAGAGTCATGGAGTGCTTTTGAGTGCTGAATAGTTAGGGAATAGCGAATTTTATTGGGAGTAAGAGTCACTGGAGTGGCCTTTCCCCTCAGAGTGCTACCCCTAATATGCGTCATCCCTCCTCCCCTCTACTCTTGACCGCACACACATACATATTTTCTCAAATTAACTCTTTTGGTGACTCCTATCTGTAGACTGTACAACTTTGGGAAGGAATGGAATGGGGAGTTTTGTTGTTTTGTATTTTGAGAGAGGCACTTCCTATATCTTCCTGACTGACTTGAGATTCCTAGTGCTGGGATTACAGGAGTGTACCACAGCCAGCACAGAAGAAAAACTTTGAAGTGTCAAAAGATTACGGGGTGGGAGAAGACCCTAAAACGGGGCAAGTGAATGAAGTGGAGGCCTGACTTGTAGGACAGCCTAAGTGAGGCCTGTAGTTAGGCCTCAGAAAGAAAGATGGGGAGGGGTTGTGTGCCTCTCTGTGCTGTGGGGAAATATTGCATAATAGGATATGGATTATAGGAATGCTCACGATGATGTGTGAAGAAATCGCAAGGGAAGTGGGCAATATAGAGAGGTCCGAGTAGTTAGAGATTAATAGAGATTGGAGTCTGAAAATGCCCACGAAGAAAAGCCACAGCTTGTGCGTAGGAGGGAAAGTGTGTATGGGAGGTGAATCAGACCCTGTTCTAGAGGTTCTGTCAGGAATGGCAGGTGTCCCTCAGTGACTGTTGGCTTTTCTGGAGAGGTGATTATGTTTCTTAGGCCTGGGTTTTTGTCCTTACCATTTTGGATTGGCTTGAGTTCTACCTTAAACATCCCGGCCTAGACAGAGGAAACATGGTCATAGATACCCTCTTCATCAGCTGCAATTTTATTTATGTGCTTCTATTTTTAGTTTCTTGGAGAGGTGGCTTTTGCCTTTCCTCTAAAAGCATTAAGAGCCATAAGGATTCTTGTTGCTTTCTAAATGTGAAAAAGGATAATATTTATTAAAGTGACAATTTTTTAAAAGTTATTTGATCTTTTTTCTTTCTTTTTTTAACTATTTGATTTTTTTCTTTTTTTTAAATTACTTGATTTTTTTTCTTTTTTATTTCTTCCCTACCCGCGTCCCCCCCCCCCCCCCCACACACACACACAGGGTTTCTCTGTGGCTTTGGAGGCTGACCTGGAACTAGCTCTTGTAGATCCACCTGCCTCTGCCTCCTGAGTGCTGACACTCAGGAGCCTCCACTGCCTGGCTGCTTTTTTGTTTTTCGAGACAGGGTTTCTTTGTATATAACAGCACTAGGTGTTCTAGTACTCATTCTGTAAACCAGGCTGGCCTCAAACTCATTCTCTTGCCTCTGCCTCTCTGGTGTTGGGATTGCAGGTGTGCCTCATCACATTAGGCAAACCATAAGCTCTTAAATGATATTTACAGTCTTTTCCATTGAAATAGTTACCATGTTTGAATCTGGAGGAGGCAATTATAAATGAATTATCTTAAAGTAACCATCATAGTGTGCTTGTTCTTATGCTTTGATTGTTAATAAACGATGATTTGTCACCTTAGCCCAGTTATTTGGAGTCTTGATTTGAAATTAGAGTGGAACTTACAAAGGGAGTGAATTGCCAAGGTGTATATTGCTTCCTTAAAATAAGAGCTTTGTGATTAAAGTCACATTTGACTAGCCAAAGGAAAAATATTTGAAGCCATAGATGATCTTGAGCTCTAGTTCGTTCTGCTTCACACAACAGTTCAGAAATAGTCACTCTACAGCTCCTATACCGACTCTCTGTCTAGCTAGCTGGTTTTTGTTTGATTTGTAGACTAGAGCTCAGAATCTGCCTGCCTCTGCCTTTGAAGTTCTGGGATTTAAGTTGTGTGTCACCACATCCAGCAAGCTAGTTGTTTTGAGGAAGGTTTATTGTGTAGCTCTGGCTTGTCAGGTAGGGTTATAGCCCATTTTGGTCTCACACTTGGATTTGTTTGCTTTATGCTTTGTTTTTGATTGTTTTAATCAACCATGAGCTACCACATGTGTTTTATGAGGCCTCCTTCTGTTTTAAAAATTAATTTTTTTAATTTTGAGAGTTTATGTATTTATGTGTCTGTGTGTATGTGCTCATAAGTGGAAGTTAGAGGACAGCTTATAGGCATTGGGTTTTTCCTCCTTACTTCATGTGGGTCCTCAGACTTCTGTGTACTTGGTGACAAATGCCTTTACCCACAGAGCCATCCTGCTGGCTTAATCTTTTTTTTTTTTTTTTAAATATGCATTGACATTTTTACCTGTGTATATGTCTGTGCAAGGGTGCCAGGCAGTTGTGAGCTGCCATGTGGGTGCTGGGAATTGAACCCTCTTTCTCTGGAAGAGCAGCCAGTGCTCTTAACCACTGAGCCATCTCTCTAGCCATGGCCTAATCTTTTTAAACAATAATAAAGAACATCAGATTTTGCTGAACTGGCCCTGGACTCCAAGCAATCCTTCTGCCTTTGACTACTATAGTAGCTGATATACAGGTAAATTCAACCACACTTAGCTTTTCAGGATGTCATTGTTTTTATTTAAATATTTCTGCCATGTCTGTTTAAGTTCAGTGTCAGGTATAATTATAGTTTGTTTTATAGGTGTTTAATATCTGAGATTAGTTGGTATGTATACTTAAAAGTTAGCTTTGAGCATCAAAATAGTATGTTATAGTTGTTGTCTGTGGACTCCTGGGTTGATACTAACTCTTCTGATTAATACCTTTGCTGAAATATGTGCTACCTAAAAGCTATTAAATATTTTATTAGCTTGTTTTTCTTTGATCATATAATGGAAACCATGGCCTGTGGTACGAACAGAGATAACGAGAACCAGAGCTGGATAAGGCGGAGTATTTTTTTGTTTGCTTGCTTGCTTTTTTTATGAGCCAAGATTTCATTTAAGGTCTTGTGAACTTGATGTGATCCTCCTTTAATATCTTTCCTATAGTTGAGATGTGCAGGAGAGAGCTACCAACTCTGACTTTTTTTTTTCTGAGATAGAGTCTTCCTGTGTTAACCAGGTTGATCTCTTAATTTATAAACTTCCTTTGTAAATGGGAGTGGGAGCTTTTTTTTTTTTTTGTTTTTTTTTTTTTTTTTTTTTTTTGTTTTGTTTTGTTTTGTTTTGTTTTGTTTTGGGTTTGGGTTTTTCAAGACAGAGTTTCTCTATTGCTTTGGAGCCTGTCCTGGAACTAGCTCTGTAGACCAGGCTGGCCTTGAACTCAAGAGATCTGCCTGCCTTTGCCTCCCAAGTACAGGGATTAAAGACATTGCCACCAATGTCTGGGAGCAGGGAGCTTTTGTCCTGACTACCTAGTCCCAAATAAACACACAGAAAAGAAGCTCAGTCTTTTTCTTTTGTTGTTGTTTGTTTGTTTTCTTTGAGATAGGATTTCTCTGTAGCTTTGGATCTCACTTTGTAGACCAGGCTGGCCTCACACTCACAGAGATGCACCTGCTTCCTCCTCCCAAGTGCTGGGACTAAAGTTTTGCACCACTACTGTCTAGTTAGCTCAGTCTTATTACTAACTAGCTCTCAGAACTCAAATTAACTATTCCTATTAATCTATTTTGCCACATGGCTCGTGGCATTACCTGTCCTCTAGCATCTTGCTTCTCCTGGGACTGCTTGCATCTCCTCTCACTCCGTCCCCTCTTCCTTTCTGTATTTTCAGTTTGGCTTTCTGGCCCAGCCTTATTCTGCCTTGCTATAGGCCAAAGCAGCTTCTTTATTAATCTCCCCACTTTTTCCCCCTTACTGTATAGCCTTGGATGTTCTGGAACTCATTCTGTAGAGAAGGCTGGCTTTGAACTCTCAGAAATCTGCCTGCTTCTTCCTCCCAAGTTCTGGGATTAAAGAAATGTATCACTACCACCTCCATGACACATAATAACCTTTTTCTGTTTGATTTTTTTTTTTTTTTTCCTGTGAGAGTCTCACTATGTAGCCATGACTGGCTTGGAACTTGTTATGTAGACCAGGCTTACTTCTGGTAAGTAAAGTAAATAAATGAATAAATAAAGAAGATAGCAAGGCTAGGTAGGTATGGAGGTACAGAAAGCAGGAGGATTAAGAGTTCAAGGCCAGCCAGTGTAACATGAGATCCTGTCATTAAAAAAACAAAACAAGAAAAAGGGAAAAAACAAAACAAAACAAAACAAAAAAAAAACCCTCTCTTCTTTGGGTGGTTCCCCCCACCAAAAGATAAAAACACATTGGTGAAGTATACTGTTTTCTCTATAGTCACCCAGGTGAAGGGAATCTCTCTATTAAGCCCAATATTCTGTTCCAGAGATGGTATTAGGATAGATGGAATAACTATGGGGAGTTATGAGGGAAGAGGAAGAGGTCTTTTTAGAATATGTGTATCAGCCCATCCCTGCACAGTATAAGTTAATAAATCTCTGTTAGAGTTTGAGAGAAGACAACAGGGAGGGAAAGCT